CTCCCCTACATATTGCTCCCTTCATCATTTTTCCTTTATAAGGCTTTCTTGATCCCCAGGGACCATGCTAACACTTTTCAGAGCACGCAACCCATTATATTGCTATTGCCAAATTTCTTAAGTAACATCTTAGAACATCCTTCTATCATTCTTGGTTAGAATATCCATAATTAGGGAAAACACAAGAAGCAACCAATACATGCATAAATAAGGGGAACTACAAAATCTCTCTCCCCGCCCCTTTTCTTTCTCTCTCTCAAATCAATAAATAATGGTCCCATCTAGTACAGTACAGGTGATAATTATTTTCTGAATGACTGAATGGCTGATTGAATGGATGTTGCCCAACCCCACGCATCTGATACAGTGCTTCTTACTCTCCTTGATCTTGTTTGCCGGTCCCTTGGCTCACCTGGCTGGCTAGGGACCATCTTACTCTAATACAATAGGGGTCTAGTTTTATTATAACAAATTCCATGGATCATTTATGTTTGTTTACATTGATTGATAGATTTATGTGGTCCATTGGTTTGGGATTGGATTTTTTGGTACAGAGGAATTATTATTGTTTATTATTTACGGAGGACTTGATCTTTAGTTTATATATATAAAACTTGAAGTACCTAATTCAGATGATAAGAAAAGATAGAGGGATAAAATGTGTTTGTTCCACTCCTTCTGTTGAATATCCCTACACTAGAGAGTTTGAGATACATTCATCTGTCATTTAACCATAAAATATCTTGTAATTTAAATGACTATTTTCAGGAAGCAATTAAAATTGTAAGAGACTTTTACCTATTTAATCTCCATCGTAAAATTATATTGGTTATTTTCTAAAATAACTTAATTCCTTTATCAACATTTCAGGTCTATCAATAGTAATAATAATACTTATAATTGGCTCTTCAGGATCCACAGAAAATGTTAAACATGCCCTTTGCCACAAAGGAAGAAGAAATACCAGATGTTTACTGCTTGAGTTTCAGGAGGACACCTTGGTTTATTTGAAAATGGATGAGGCCCTGACGTGGTAGTTCACTTGGTTAGAACATCCTTCTATCATTCTTGATTAGAACGTCCATAATTAGGGAAAACACAAGAAACAACCAATACATGCATAAATAAGGGGAACTACAAAATCTCTCTCTCTCTCTCTCTCTCTCTCTCTCTCTCTTCTTTCTCTCTCTCAAATCAATAAATAAAAATTAAAAAAAGAAAATTAATGGTAAGACTATTTCTTATTTCTTTAGCGAGGGTATAGAAAAGAGACAGAAAGAATTAAGATAAGGTTAGACATAAAATACCACTAATGAGCGAAAGTAACATTTTTGTCAATACATACATATAATATCAATGTGTTTCTACTTAGGCAAATTATATATTCCTGAAGTGTTTTATAAAATTAATTGTATATCAAATCAGTTAAAACTACTACTTGGGGGAGTATTTGAAGGATTTCCATAATGCATATTGATTATGGTGCAAAAACTTCCCTTAATTTATTTGCTTTGCCAGTCTTCTGTTTCCCACTTGTTGTGCATACATCCGATTCCACTTCTCCCAGGTGCCCTGTTGGAAGAAAGCTCCTTTACCTTCTCAGTTCTGAGTGCCCTGACTCGGTAGGACCAGGAAACAGAGGTGGGTTATGGCTGGTGGGTGTGAGGCTAGGTTACCTTTACGGGCCGTCTGGGCAGAAGATGGAGGTTTTGACGTGGGGCGTGGTGTTAGGGGTTGCAGAGGAGTGCAGTCTGGTGCAGCGAGGTGAGCAGAGTGGATATCCAGAAGGTGGGATTTTGGAGAGAACAGTCTCCTCCCCACAGTCTCTGCTGTTCCCCCTTCTCCTTCTGGTAGATTCTTGTGTCCACTATGGAAATAATTTTAGATTATCTATCTTTAGGTAGCCAAAGAATTTACAAATTTTAGACTATTTGATGTTGCTAAAACCATGTAAAAATAGTTGGAATTTAAATATGAAAGCACATAAAAACAGCACGAGGTTAAAATTCAGTATGAAAACTATCTGCAAATAAGGGCCTACTGACATTAGAGGATAAACCATACTTGTTTAAAAAGCAATTATCCTGGAAACTCTAGGGAAAGGCTGTGGGGACAGTGTGAAAGAGTGGTATTGAGAAGATAAGGATGGGTTTGGGAGTTGCCAAGAGCACTTTTTAGAGAACTCAATAGAGCCATGGGATCATTAGATAGGCTGCTTTCTGTGCACTCTGCCGCCCCCCCCGCCCCTCCCCCCCTCAATTAGGCCAGTTTGGTGTGAGCATATCCAGCTATTTTAAACTTTTGATTTTTACAGTGAACTTTGGGATCTGGGCCATTAGGGAACATTATGAGATCCCAAAGATGAGGAATGAAGACTGGTCCAGTGTGTGTTAGACATTCTCAGATCAAAGGACTTCTAGTTATCATTGGGAAAAGACCCAGCCCCAATCTGTTTCTGGAAAGATTTCCCTTCCTTCACATTCATTTAGTTAGAGATCCAGGTAGAGCTAGGGCAGAGTAAGGGAAATGGGTAGAGTTTGGGGTACCCTAGATATATTTTACCTCTTTCCACAAGAGGATATTCTTGCCATTCTACCAAAAGCTTTAAAAAATGAGCTTGCTGAAAGAAAGGCACTTTGTATTCTTACTGGAGACAGAAAAAGTTACCAATTAGGCCCGTGTTCACAGAATTACCAGGCTCTACTTCACAACGTCTATGACTTTATCACTGCCCAACTTTGCCCTTTATCAGTGCACTGAGAGAGAGAGAGAGAGAGAGAGAGATAAAGAGAGAGAATGAAAATAAAATAGTGATAAGATTTATTTTTTCAACACACACAAAAAAGAAATTCCCTACATTTGGAAAGAAGAAACATAATTCTAGCAGTTTGGTAAAGAGCCGGTGAGAAGATGGAGAAAAGGAACCGGCTAAATTTATATTTGAATAAAATAACAGAAGAATTTAAAGTTTCAAAATTAATGGCCTCATTCTGAACAGAGCTGGTTTCAAGCTTGCTTTTCCATCCTCTTAGACTCACATGCACAGAGCTGCAAAATCGTGGAGGAGGCAGGCTGTCTTTGAGTGGATGGTCCAGCAGAGAGAGAGATGTCCTTCAGAGATTCAGGATAGCTGATTGCAAAGGGGTCCTGTGACTGTTTTGGAAAGGCTTTAGAATTCTTTCAGGAGTTTACCTGAAACAAGTGTTCAGAATCTCTGAGAGCACCTGCCTTTCAGAGCTCTTCCAAGATTTCTATATTGCTTGAGTCATATTTTACATTTGTTTTCATCAGCTGTTGCCTCTCTTACTACAAATAATAATTAAAAAAACATTGTCAAGAGAGTTGAAGAAAAATTCTAATCTCAGGGGGAATTCTATTCTAAAGTAGTATTTCCCTAATGAGATCTTCCCTACCCAAATCTTTATTATTTTGTCTTGAGAGAGAACAGCAGCAAACATTTCTAGTAGGTCCCTGGAAAGGGGGCTGCAGGGAATAACCTTGTCAGTATACTAGTAGTTTTGGATGGCTTACAGTTTCTTAGAGGTGATGTGAAGTCTCAATTGATCACTGTCCCCCCCAAATATTTATCAGGGTTCCTCCATCATCCCTTCTAGTTTCTGTTCAGATGTTACCTAATTAGTGAGAGCACTCTCTATCTTTAATCCTCCTGCAAGGATATGTTTTTATTGATTTTTAGAAAGAAAGTAAGGGGGGGGGGAGAGAGAGACCGAGAGAGAGTGAGAGAGAGAGAGAGAGAGAGAGAGAGAGAGAGAGAGAGAGAGAGAGAGAGAGAGAGAGAGAGAGAGAGAGAGAGAGAGAGAGAGAGAGAGAGAGAGAGAGATCAATGTGACTGGGAATCAAACCCAAACCTTTTTAGTGTGTGGGATGACAGTCCAACCAACTGAGTCACTTGGCCAGGGCAGTGAGATATCTCTCTCTCTCTCTCTCTCTCTCTCTCTCTCTCTCTCTCTCTCTTTTTTAATCTCTTTTATTGCTTAAAATATTACAAAGAGTATTACATATGAGTGAGATCTCTCTTGACCTTCCTCTTTTTCTTTCCCTGTGTTATTTTTCTCAGAAGCACTTACCACCATCTGACATATTATATTTGCTCATATACTGGTTTATTGTTTGTCTCCCTTCACTAGAATGTAGACTTCACAAGAAGAGGTTGGTTTACTTACTATGGAATCCCCAACACTACCACATTGCCTGGAACATAGTAGTGTCTCAAAGAAACCCCACATTTTTGAATAAATGGATAAGAGAAACCACCACACATATTAAATGCTGTGACAGAAAAAAGAGCTGTGCTTTTAAATATGAACCTCCAAATTAAAGTTACCAGGTGTCAATTTGATACCAAATTGATTCTCACATTCATTGCAGGTCTAGGTAGCATATACTAATTAGTACAGTGCAAGTAGCTTTGGGTATTCATTTGTTTCTTTTACAAAAGTTAATGTTAATTAGTGGGGAATTGGCTAGCAATGAAGAAATGAAGCCTGGAGTGTGATATAAAAGGATGTAACTGGACAAAGACTAGCTGATTCCTAAGATTCTTTTAAATTTTAGATTA